TCATCGGGTTCGTTAACCAGTTCGTTCAGTTTTAGTAGTCATCAATTTGGTCGATTTCTTCGTAAAGAGTGCTTAAAAATCTCTCTCTCTCTCTCCGAAGGGATTTTCGATACCACCTTATACCTGAGTCACACCGTTAAGATCGACAACAGACCGATTCCAGACCGACCAAATAAATTACATTACCCCTGTGGCAGAAAAAAAAAGTAGGTCTGGGGGGTGTTTCACAAAGATTCTAAGCTGAACCTATCTCTAAGTTGGACTTAAACATTATGGAAAGCCGTTAGCATCTTTGAAAATATTTTGTAAAAGTTATTTCAAAAGTCATAAAAGGTTGATTCAAATCATTCATATTTTCTATTATCAAGGAGGTTTCATGTTCTTGACGTGGAATTTATGAAAAGTCTAAAATACTTGAATTTTTGCTTTTGGAAATATTTAATTTCAAGGCTACAAATGGCTCTCCATAATTTTTAAGTCCAACTTAGAGTTAAGTTCGACTTAAGATCTTTGTGAAACACCCCCTGGAGTCGGCTGGGCGGTGTGACTGAGGTAACTACCAATTAAGCGTAAACGTGAACGGAATCTAGTTCAACGTCTCGGGCAGTGTTTCACGAAACCGCCAGTGGTACAAGTTTGTCTACATCCCTTTGAAACGCGTGTATTAAATTTGATTGGCGTCACAATAATATTGTACGTTGGTGAACTTGTACTTGCGACGTTTTCGTGAAACAGTGCCGTAATCAGCAACTCGGTAATCCGTAACGTTCGCATTAATGTATCATGAAGTTGTGGCGTAGGGATGCATAATTAATCCATTTTCATCGTTTATTCGATGAAGAATATCAATAAAAAATCTTGAATTGATTTAAAAGCATCTCACCCGATGCAATACTAAATAAATTATCCTGATTTTTTATACAGCATGTGATATGTGAAATGAATGAGCAAAACAAACCAGGGATAAATAACAGAGTGGCAAATAATTATATTCCACCATTATTGCGCTTATTCTACAAAAACATACAGTGGGCACAATACATAACAATTACAAAAGCTGATAGCAATTTTTAGTGGGTGCTTCCAACGGCACAATGTGCAAAGATGCAGGTACAAGCCTACAATGTTTAGAACGAAGGGCATTTTTGTATGCATTCAGTCCGTCACATCCCACACCTGTAGCATACTTTCACCAGTCTACTTCACCGATATCCTGCTTTCCTTTAGAGTAGATGTCTATTAAGGTCAAGAGGGCAGTTTGTATAGCCTCAACGACTACCAGCGGATCTACGGGCACGGGGGGGGGGGGTTCAAGGGGCACTTGCCCCCCTCTTTCTAATATGTCGTACCTTGGAAACACAAGAAATTCCCCCTCCCCGTGAATTTTTTCTTTGATACTCGGAGATCTGGGGTGGAGAATGAAGATTGCAGTCTTGGGAACAGATACAAGCAACAACTATCTATAATCCTCTTTTGTGCCGTTACAGTATATTTCTCTCGATTCTTGAGCTCTATATGACTAGTAATGACGTAGGATCGTATCAGCCTCCTTTCATAAATCGGACCCAAAAGGGTACGTGGACATGGAGTTGTCAACTGGACTTCTTCACTCATTTCTTAAAGTTCGTTAAGAGGGAAGAATTCATCTTTTCGTATGAGAAAGAATGACAAGCAACTCGGAGTTGTCGACTGAACTTCGCTAATTGTTTTTTTTAAGTCCATTAAGAGAGAAGAATAATACGGAAAACCTTACAGTATAACTTAAATTGCTGACGAAACCGTTTGCAAACATTAAATTAGTCAGTAAGATGATCTCGATTAAGTGGGGAAAGAGTATTTGTTTTTAGGAAAACTAAAGATCTTAATAAATATTTCGTCAATAAGAAAGATGGGTTTGACTGATCTTTTTGATGATACAAACAGATACAGTACATTATTTAAATATTTTACTAAGAAAGAGGGGGTGTCTGACTAATACTATACCCTAGCTCTTTAAACTTTCATCGTTTGAGCATGGATATATTAGCGATATGGTGAGAGTCATCACCAGGACTAATTTACGATGATTAGCAAATCGAGCTTTCCGCGTGCAGGCAACTTTTTCAGCGACGAATTTGGCGCGTTTTTCGCCTATACCAGCACCCATGCATAATAGATCAATGAATGCGTAATATTAATGGGTACCTTACATCTTCTCGATTACCCTGTGATTCTAACCTCATGTTCTTGATTAAAATCGTCCCAATATGAAAGAGATTTTTCGCTGAAATGAGTGGGCTGGTTCCGTGAAACAGTCACACCGAGCTTTGATTTATTTATTGCCACTATTAGGGTCATTAAAATCCCATTCGATGACTTTTTGGTTATCATTCTCCGCTTCTTGATATCATATTCAGTAAACAGTGTACGACAGCCGCTGGTTGATTATCTTTTGAGAGTGAGAATGACGTTAATTAACTCTAATATTCTGTTTTGGAGCCAGAAGGACGTTAGCACTATCTCAAAATATGTGAGGTAATGCCCTCATGGCTCTACATGGACGCAGTATGTAAAATCATGAAGTGGTAACGCTGAGCTAGCTCTTAGCAGCAGCTTATAATCATGAGTGATGAAGAAAATTAACCCTGTGAATTACACCTATTACCCTAAATGTGATTTATTTATAATTATCATGCACCATCTTAGGACATTATTATTTAGCATGATTAGCGAGACTTTATTCCACGAAGCATGCACCTAACGCCATTTTAGCTCCATTCAGACAGACTTAAGGCCCGGTCACACAGCCTTTCGCGTCTGTATCGCGGGTAAAATTTCGCGATTTTTTTTTGCCCGCGGTTACCCGTGGTGGAAAATGTGCAAAATTGGCTTACCCGCGGTTTACCCGTGGTATGCCCGCGGAACAGACGCCGGCGACTGTTTCGCGTCCTTATCGCGGGTGAAGCGCGGCGGTACCGCGGCCTACCACGCTTACACGCGGTACACACGCTAATGCACGTGATAACAACGCGGTACAGACGCGGAACAAACGTGCTATGACCGTGCTCCACCCGCGATTACCCGCTAAAATTTCGCGTCCAATTCCGCGTGTAACCACGTCTTAACCGCGGCCGTAGCACGTCCTAGCACGTTCGTTCCGCGTCTGTACCGCGTCTTTACCGCGTGTGTACCACGTGTACCCACGTGTACCGCCCGCGATTACCCGCGGTCTAAATTTTTGGGCAGCCCAAAACTTTTTCGCGCGGCCAACCGCGTGTGAATTTCTTACCGCGTGTAACGACGGGTAAAGTACGGCTGTATCGCGTCTTTATCGCGACCTCAAAGCGTCCAACAGCGTCTGCTTCACGGGCAGAAAATTTTGGCCGAGATTCGGCCGCGATACGCCCGTGGAGGGCTGTGTGACCGGGCCTTTAGGCCCGAATTCACAAAGGAGGTTTGTCGACAAACCTCCTTTGTGAATTCGGGCCTTATTGTATGTGGTGAACAAATACAACCTTGTGAATTACACCTATTACCCTAAATGGGATTTATTTAGATCACGGTAAACATTAGGACATTATAGCATGATTGGTGAGACTTTTATCGACGTGGCATGCACGTTAGAAAAAGTCATTCTCATTTTTCTCCTACAGAAACACAAACCTGACACTATAATCATGTTCCGCTCCGGAACGGACAAGGGTTAAGGGTTACATGTGATTCCATGGTTCACGGGTTATAAAATCACTAATATCATCCTAATGTAAATAAACATCTAACCTTTGACCCGAGAGGTATGACAGGTTGACATTATTTAAAAAAAATGGTTTACTTTCATTTTCATCTCTGTCATTTTTGATGTCGGGTTGAGTGAAGGGATGGATTTAAGAGATAGAACATGGGGCTTCCATCTCTTCCAATGAGACAACTGTCTAGACTCTTCTATTTAGTCAAGAATACAATAAACATTTTACTTTTAACACTTCTAGGAGCACTGTAAATATTTCTTTCTGCCCTTTAGAAGAAAATCGACGTAAAACCTTAAATTAATTAATCTTTATCTTCTTAGTACTTTGAATAATCGTTTCAAAGCGAGGAACCAGCAGAAGAAAAAAAAAATCAAGTATTACCATGATCACTGTGACAGTTGGATACTCAACAAATTATGGAATGATTTCTCTTACGTACATCATTGGTTATATCATACATTCATATGATTTTAACATAATTCTGCAGCCTTTTTCTACATAATTATTATGAGCAAAGAGCTCAATTACAAAAAATATACATTACCAAAATTGTATAGGCCTATAGTAGGAATCATTTAGAGAGATAATAAAGATGGAATTGCCACATCAATATCAATATTTAAATCTAATGTTATATCCATCATACTCGATTTGATTTTACTTGTATGACTTATTAATGCAGTCACTTTATGGTTGAAAATTTATTTGCTAGCTGAGTTAATATATTGCTATCTTTGTCTTGTATATTTGTTTACTTCTAATTGTCTGTTTGATCAAAATATCGAAATCCCCGATAAATTCAACCTGGTAAAAGAAGACTTAATTAATGAGTAAATAAATGAGAATTAACTTAGGGGAAAAGTGGGAAAATTTAGTTCAGAGTTACGGTTAAGGTTAGTTTTGTATAGTAAATATGGCAAAGTGAAGTTTAAACTGGAGAATAGAGATACGATCGAGGACAGAGATGGAGGGGAGAAAGGGAGAAACCGACACACAGAGAGAGATGGTAAGAAAGAAATACCAATGTAGAAAGAAGATGGAAGAGGGGGAGGATGATAAAGTCAAAAAATAGAAATTGGTCAAGTACGGATGGTATTATGGGGGAAGGAAATGAAAAAGTATATCTTTACAATTATTTTGGAACACACGGTGTCGGCGATGATAACAAACTAGAGGAAAAAATGAAAAATAAAAAGCATATCTTATGATTATTATTCTTCTTGTAATTGTGTTTATTTTATGTTATTGTGTTTTGTTGTTGGTTTTACATAGATTCAAGTATTCTTAGTCCAGAGCAAGCCACCAAGATTAGTCTACGATCAGCCAGACCCGATGATTGCGGTGAAATCATGAAGTTGCTTCGTGACTTTGCTGAGTGGGAGGACAGCCTGGATAAGCTCGAAATCACTGAAGAAGGTATATGTACATTTTGGATGTCAAATCCTTTTGATTGAATTCATGAGTTAAAATGACTAATCAGAATGACCACGGAGAATGAATAATCTGTACGAATGGTCACCTTTGAAGAAATCCATCTATAAACATTCTGAATGACTAACCTGAGTGACTAATCTAAATGTATGAACATTCTTATTGCGTTTTAATATGAATGACTAATTGACTAATTAAATGACTAATCAGTCAAATTAGTCACTTCGTATAGTCAAACAGACTGACTAATCTAAAATTATTGTCTTGATTGGAATGTAATATTTAATATCGAAATCGCATATATTACCTGGGGAAGTTGACTAATGTATTACTGCCCATACTTTATATGAGACAATTTAACGGGGTAAGTTTAAAGGTACAATACACGACGCAAAATGCCAGAATTTATTTATCTTATATTTTAATCACTGGTAATTTTCTAAATATAATTTTCATATTCCTAATTTCTAGACCTTCTTCGCGATGGTTTCGGTGAGACGCCATTTTACCGGTGTGTGGTTGCCGAGGCTCAAGGGAGGGATAACATCGCGTCTCTCGTGGCGTATGGCATGTACAACTTCATATACTGCGCATGGAAAGGACGCATGGTCACCTTTGAAGATATTTATGTTCATCAAGCTTACAGAGGTAATTAAGAATTAAGGTATTGTGCTCTTGTGGTCGAGTGGATACGTCACTGGACTGTCGATCACAAGGTCCGCGGTTCGAGTCCCGCCGCGGCACTATTTAGGGACTTTTGCACGTCGACATAGTGGACTGCTACGTGACTGTGACGTCCTTTTTTAAGGCACTGTGATGTCCTCTTAAGGTACTGCCAGTGCCTTAAAAGGACGTCACATACACGTAGCAGTCCACAATGTCGACGTGCGAATCTAAAAGTCCCTAATGTCCATTGATCTACATGTGCCACTCTCCACCCAGGTGTTAAATGGGTACCCGGTAGGATGTGAACGCCAATGCAGTATGCTTAGCAATTTGATCCTAGTAGCTTTTGCTGGAATGCTCCCCAGGGAGTGGAGAAAATGCATACATTGTGTGCGGGCAAGCCAGAATCCGATGACTTGGGTAATAATGTAAAGCGCTTAGAAACTCGGACAATGCCGATGTATTAAGCGCTATATAAGCAGAAATATTATTATCATAAATATTATTGTGTGGATGCAAATATTAATTCGAGGCATTTCTGTAAATGAGTCTTTTCCAATATACTTAGCAGCTTCCTCTCGCTTTCTCCGTCTTTGGCGGGTCCAGGCTTCTTGGGAGGGGGCATAAATTGGAGAGAAACAATCTCAGAAAAACAATGAACAAACAAAGAAACTATGAAATGAAACATGTGCTCACAGGTAAAGAAAATTTCACAAGTTACAGATCCAAACATTTTAAAAGATTATCTGAAAAGCAAGTAAAAGAAGAAAAGGGGTCTTGGATTTTCTCCCCTGTTTCCCTGAAAGTCACCTGTCTTACATACAAAGAAATATTTGTATATAAAAATATTAATTTCTTCATGACAAATCCATACGATTCCCGTGGACTATATTATCTATGATGCACATTTCATTAAGTTCCTGATTAACTATTCATCATCATTATTCCAAAATACAGCCAGCTTTCCGCCTTACTCTATTTGTTGCCCCCATTTCTGCGTCATTAGAAGTTTGCGAAGGTTTGAGCAAAGGCGTCATTTTTCCATTCGTGTTCTTCGAAACATTAATTAGATTTGCATGTTTAAAGCACCTCACGCTTTCTGAATCAACCTAGACACAAGCGATGGAAGAGACACTGAACACAATTACAAGAATTATTAGTTAATTCCCTTGTGGATGTAAGCATTGCTAGGTGATTGGGTATTTAACAGATGGACATAACTTTTCTAGCTAGAAAACGATTTGTGACGGGTTTGACAACTGTGAAGTCTAAAGGGTGTATATGGGAAAGTCAAAATCATTGGCATGGAACAACCATAATTTTATCATAAATATGACAAAAATAGTCAGTAATTTTGTCAAAAGGTGGCCAGAGGAATGGATAACAAGAAAACATATATCTTCTTTTTTTCTTTTTTTTGTAAAATGAATTTATTGATAAATATATGCATTTGAACAAATCAAACAATCATACATAATCAATTGAAATAACATCGTAGCATCTTAACATAGTTCAAATAAAACATGTTTCGTTTTCTTGAATAACAGTGTTTTCAAAAATGCATAGCTTTTTTGTTTTACAATGCCTTTCGATCTTTAATCGATTGTGGATTAGTCTTTTGAAAATACAAAGAATAGAGACTTCATGAAACATGAGTTTGCGATTTTCTGCTTGCATAAATGTTAAATAAACTGCGTATTTTGCAGAAAACAAATATCTGATATCATTAGTTTAGGCCTATTTAATTCAGCTGTATAGCAATCAGTAAAGGTGTTGTATCAACTTGTAAACTATACCATTTATACTACATGTATAACAATTAAAATTGGTTTGTGATCGTGTTGTCTCATGCGGTGCCAACGGATAAACTAATACAGCATTAACAAAATTAATCAGTGATGAGAAAATATACATAGGCCTACCCTATATATTGTAATAATTTCTACTAAATAAACTCCTATATAGCGGAGGGAACATGGTTTAAATTTGCTATGGCCAGAGCATAAATCCCTGACCACTTACAATCTGACCACTCAGCCGAATGGACACGATCCATTAACTCTGCGCTAGGGGATGCAAGCAGTAAAATAGTAAAGTCATTAACCTAATCATTTTGTATTATGGCGATGCGAGAAGTAAATAGGCAGTCAGGAGATAATTTTATAAATTACACCAGCGACAAGGTTAATTTAGATGTTTGTTTTCTGGCCGATGATGAGTTCAGAATTAAGCAGGCATTTCAAATTTGTGCGACGAGCTGGTGCTAGGAGTTTGTGAGTATATAGTTTGGAATTGTTTCAAATTGTGCCTACTTCCAGGTTTAATAAACTAATTGGATAGGCACCCATCCTCGTAAACTATGTGCAGCACCATTCCCATCTCAAACATTGAGACACACGAAGACATCAAAGAGAGACCGCAAAATGTGAAGTAGATGCACAGCATCCATTTAAGTATAGAAGATCATGGGGAAAAGTAACTACTCTTTCAGGATAACTAATTAATCATGCTAATTTCATAGAAGACTTGATGTTTTCGAAAAAGCGAGGTGGCCGAATTAGAGGCTCACCGTTTATGCGTCATTACGACATTTGGTGACATTAAGATAATGGGTATTCATGCATCAGGGCCTCGGGATACATTTCCATGAAGTCAGATGAAGTTCCGGAAAACATTGATTACGAGTTAGAGAGTCTACGTCTTGGATACACCACCCCCTTGTATCTCTCTCTCTTACTCTCTCTCTCTCTCTCTCTGTCTCTCTTTCTTCCTCCCCTCTCTCTTTCTCTTTCTCTCTCTCTTTCTTCCCCTATCTTCCTCTCTCTCTCCCCTCCAATTCTTCTGTCTCATCACCAATAATTATTTTCATTACACAAATTACAACCGTGATAATTGAATTTGAGCATGTTAATATGAAATGTTGATATACTACCTTATATCAAATTTCATATCTATCCATTAGTCTAGCGATTTAAGAAGAATGTATAGATGATGAAAACAAAAGGATTCTGATCGAAATCCAATATTCAATGTAAAAATGTATTGAGTTTCTGGGCTGGGACAGAGATGAAATAATATAATCATATTATCATGCTCCTGTTGCTACGCGTAATTTATCTTGTTTTAAATTAAAATAGAATTTTGAACGAAAAATCCAATATTCACTGGAAAATTTATTGAAGATCTGACGCCTCTTAACTGAGCTCCTGTATAAAAGAACACTATATTTTAGAGACGAAATAAAGATTTACAGGGCTGGGAAAGAGATGTAATGACACAATCCTATTATCATGCTTCTGTTGCTACGCATAATTTGTCTTGTTTAAACAAAAATGTAGAACAATAAATCTGATCAGGTCGGTGATTTGCGTTCTTGTTTTTTTCTCGAAGAAATTACATTATAAGCTTGATAATTTTGAGTTCTGCATCAAGACGTTATTAGTTTTAAATACTATGCACCAAATTACCGATGTTATAGACGTCATACATAGTTTAAGTATTTCAAACAAAAGGAAATTCAGATCAATAATTACCTTATTCAAATTATTTGGTGGAATATTTTGGATAGCACAACTCCCATGGTCAGTATTTGAAGAGTGGGTAACATTTTCAGTTATCTTTTATTCGTACTTTTGGAGATAAAAGTTCACTGTGCACTAAAAATATAGTTTATACAAAATACACTAAATGTTCAAAGCATATGTATGAAATTAGTTCTAAATTGGTGACAAGGCCTGCAGAGTATGGTCAATCATTCTCAAGTCACAGTTTCCTGCTAATTTGCCTCGAAAATTCGGACAAGTAGATGGATCTGGGCTCGTTTTGGGGGTGTTTTTACGGAAGAGAACATCCATTAGGTAATTGACTTCTCATGCTCGCTTCGCTGACGCAACTAAAAAACGCCGAATTTGTGTACCACCATCAAATCCCCATCATTGGCCATTAACATCGAAGACGGATTTGGAGAGATTACTGCTTTCATGCAATCACCATATTATAGTTTGACTAACCTGGCTAGCGGAGTATACACGAGCGGTGTCAGGGGCGTAGCATGGGTCCAGATAGAGAGGGGACAATGGTATCATGATTGGGGAAGGGAGAGGGGGGGGGGGGGAGGGGGAGGAGGGGGAGGGGGGGGGGGGGGGGTATCGGTCTTAATCGTTGGATGACATGCAAATCAACAGGCCCATTTAAAGGTTCTATGATATTAGACGATCTCAAATGCAAATTTTAACCTGTTGTACATTAATTGTAATTATTATATAATATACATATTTCGATTTGTTTTTCTCCCCCCTGAATGTTATTATCATTAATTAGGGGAAGGTGTAGACGGAAGCAGTGAAGCGTCTTATTTTAAATTCATTCATTCAATCATGCATTTATTGATTTATTTATCCATTGATTGATTGATTGATTGATTGATTGATTCATTCATTCATTCATTCATTCATGCACAACCAGAATCAAAGTTGCGTTGTATTTCATCATGGCAATAATGACACGTTTGGTATTAAAATGGAGCAAACGTAATATAGCAAAAGCTAAAGTCAGGCACGGTTGGCCCCGTTTCATAGGGGCACACCCCTCCCCCTGTTGCTATGACAGTGAGCGATGTAGTTCGGCTTCCCGCCTAAAATAGTGAGGGGAGAGATGGACAGGGTTGAGTGGATTTCTAAGTGATTGGGGGAGAGGGACGGGGGAGAAAGTGAATGGACGGAAGGTGTTGCTATATTATGGTAAATACGATGATGGTTCGAGATTGTCTTGGCAAGGGAGCGAAAGTGAATGAATTGTGATTTCTAGAATAAGTAATGATAAAATATATTCCTGAATCGCTTTGCGATTTTCCCCGAAAATAGAACAACAACAAAAGGTGTAAGGAGGGACTAGATAAAAAAAAAAAATTAATAAAACGAAAAAAATGTTGCTTCACATTTTTGTTCACGCGTGTAACAAAAAGGTAAACAAAATAAATGTTTTCACTGCAAATGAAAAGCAATTGGGAAAAAACTTTGCAATTCAAGATTATGCTCAATATTCCCTTCAAAGGGGGTGTACCATGGCAAATGCTGGTACGAATCCTTTTGGACAACTGCACGTAAATTTTATGGGGCTCTTTAATGACTTTCGGGGGCTCTTTTGGGCATTTCGGGGGCTAATTCGCCCCGAGCTCCCCGTATATTTCCCCCTGTTGATTAACGGTCGGTGCGCTAGCGTTTGCGAAACTCCCTTTAAACGGGCTTTATTTCGTCTAAGATGTAGGGTTAGGGTTAGGGTTTCAATAGGGTTTTATGTTAGGTTTAGGGTTAGGTTTAGGGTAGGGTATAGTGTTGAATCCAGGGTTGAAGTTAGCCATTTGATTAGTGTATGAAATTTACAGCGGAGCAATTGTCGCCGGAGCAAATGTCATGGAATCTCGGTGCACTATTCTGGTAGCGTCATGCGTGAAGGGAAATCCAAATCACATGATCAGAGCACGTGACACAAACATCTCCTTGTTAATAAAGAAAACGTTTTGCAAACGTTTTTGATAACATGTGGCACAAAGTATTAACCAAATTTAAAGCGATTTTTGCACAAGTTTTAATATATACCTTTTATCCCCCCAGTGTCTGCGTCGACAAGAAATTGTTGACATCTATTAAAATTGGAACGATACAGAGAAGATTAGCATGGCCCCTTGCACAAAGATGACACGCACAATCGTGAAGCGTTCCTTATTTTTGATTTTTTTTTTTTAGAACATTTGTCATAAAGTCTAGAGTAGATAATGCTGGTGAGCCTCATGATAAAGATCATTAGCGAATTGTCATAAACATTCACAATAAGAACAAAAACATCACGAAATAATGACAAAATAATAATAACTACTACAACAACAACAAAATGATAGTCATCGTTATTTTTATCACCATTGTTATCATTATCATCTTTATTAGTATTTTTACTTTTTGTTATAATCAATAAACTCTTTTTTAAATGTAAAGATAGGCCTAAAGGTTGTTATATCCTGCATCCGAAATGTATTGGTTTTTGATTGGTTGAGAGCTCTTCACGTGACCAGAAATATTTCGATAATTTTAAGTTGCTCTGATAAAGTACTATTTTGGAGAACTATTTAGGAGTTGAAAAAAAAATATAACTTGTTTCCTTTAATTCCTTTATTAAAATTGTAAAATGTTAACATCTTACATTGTTGTATTTTGCTTTGATAAATTTGTTAACGTTAACTGGTTCATTGACTGCCCACATGTGAACTATAATGACGATAAACGCTTGCTTTATTTGATACACGGACGGAAGAGAGAAGTTCAGTCTACATGCCACCCCCTCTTAAAGTCTGTTACGCAAACGAGTGACCACTAATTACGGGAAGGGGGTACAGGAGGGCACACCCCCACATCAAATTGTAAAAAGGGTGATCTAACATTATGTTCCGGGTTTTATATCGTTGCGATCAAGTTTTTTATATTGGGAATGGGTTTTTGATTGAAGTATAGAGTGAGGATCAGGGATGAAGTCAAGAATTTGGTAATAGTGTATGAAAATGACCACGGAGGAAGATTATCAAGGGAAGCGGGAGAAAAGATTAAAAGGGTTAAAATGTAAAAAGGTGATGACACAATCCCTTGCTCTGGCGAATCTTACAACTCTGTTCCGTTTTTCCCCTCTAAATTAAGCATTTCTTTCTCCTAATACAACCAGCCCCCTCCCCACCGATGACCCACGCTACACCACTTACTCCAGCGTTTATCTCCTCGAGTGTGAACAGTCTGCATAATTATATACATTCTCCTGCCCCTCACACTAGGTTCATCATCCGTGCAAGTGGGTTGTCATTAAGCCACCACGATGCATCTTCTTTTACGGATGCACTCCGTAATTACTCCAAAATTTGTAAGTGCAGAGGGGCATCCTTTTTGCTGGCGTTTACCCACCGACGTACAATCAAACTGATTATCCCTGCGTAAGTGGCATCATCAAACACGGTGTGCAGTATCAATTAGTCCCAACTGAAACTGTTCGATTAATGTGCATGGCTGCCTACATGGCATATAAATGAACCCATCAAATATTGTGACTGTATACGTGGTGCTTAACATCAGTTTCCTCTTGCTTCTGTACTTCAGGGGATGATTTGTTACGGATGCAATTACATTTCATTTGTTAAAGGCTGTTTTTAAAAACCCCAGTAGAAGTAAATTCGCATTTTCTTTTGTGGGATATTATCAAAATGAAAAGCAGCTCTATTAATAAACCTCATTTTGCAATTACTTGTTCTTGGCTTTAACAAGCAAACAAAATAAAAGTACGGTACATGCATCCGGTTAGATGTGGGGTTGGCACACCGGGGTATAAAGGGGGATTTTGGCCGGGGGCACGTACCCCCAGTGCTCCCTGAATCCGCAATGAAATAACTAGGCCCACAAAGCAAATATTGTATAGGCATGATATTTTCTCACAGATGAAAAGGCCCCCTTCATCACGAAGTGGCAAAGAAAAGGGGATAAGGGACATAGCCTCTACCCCCAAAACAACAAAAAAATTAACAACAGAAAAGAGAGATTGGAAAAGGGCGAATAAAGAAAGTGATATGAACCCCTCCCCTCAACCCGAATCTATTGTCTTGTTAGTTCACATTAATATTTTCACTGATCAAGAATCGCCCCTTATGATCGTCCCCCTCTTCCATTCCCCTCCCCCTCCCCCTCCCTCTCTCTCTCAGTGGCTGGGCCTGGGCATACAACCCTGTATGTTGCACCACCGACACCAGTTGCACATTCCTTTTTACTGTCGATTTTCTTCAATTTAATCGTCATTACCATCTTTCATGCTGTAATTTAAAAACAAATCAAATAAAATTCAAATTATTTGAGCCATTTTTTCAGTCAGCAGCATATTCACTTGGAATTGAACAATAAACAAATTGAAGTAATTATACGCTTCTTCATATTGAAACATGTTACGTATTACGTAAGTATTAGCGAGGAAGCAGAAACTTTAGTTGATATGGTAAATGGCCGACACACATCATTTACAGGGTGATATGTCTTCATTCAGAAAGATTGATGACAATCAGAGCTAATAATTGGGCTTTCAGGAAAGGTGGCATTTACAATGCTACGTGATTGTGATGAATATCCTCTGAATACCCGCAAATCAATGAATCAATTTCAGAGCAAACTCGAATTAAGAGGATGCTTCCTTCGTCATGATTAAGATGGACCTTTACCAAAGTGACAGCTTCTCATCGCCCATGCATCGTTCTGCTTCTCTCTGCTTCTCTCTGCTTCCTCTCACATATCAGTCAAATCGCCAAATCGACTCCAAACCGATTGATTCTGGGTCATTCGGCCCGGGGGGGGGGGGGGGGGGGGGGGGGTTGTGTTTTCTTCGGTCTGTTTTCGGTCTTGTATTTGTACGTTTGTTTTTTACCTGGCTCCTAAGAAAAGCATGTGTATGATTGTAAGTAAGCAACCAGAGGACCGACGGCGTTAAGTCCTCTTCGAGGGACTTGGTTAGGAGGATCAATGCCTTACCAAAGGGCACTAGTGCATCGACTTGGTTTCGAACCCGGGACACATCGGTTTCGAGACCACTGCTCCACCACTGAGCCATCGTTCCCGTACAGTATCTGTCTCGTCGGTGTGGTTGAGGTTTTAAAAAATATCCACAAAAACTACAGTTAAGATTGAGGATAATACGATCTTTGATGTATAGGCTATAAATCAATTTACCATGGTCTTAAAGCGGTGCACGAACCCGCTGTCAGCTCTGCTTCGTATTTGGGAGGCTGACAGATGCTGAAGTCTTAATTCCTGTGCCCTGAATCTGAAGTAGTTCACCAAATTGGATGCATGAGAGGGCTTAACTCCATAAAAAACAAGTTTTAAAGCTACTTAGCTTAGGTAACAAAATGTTTTCATCTTCAGGGAACATACACATAAACATACTTGTACATTATAAAATGAAACCTTTCTGTCTTCTAAATACCATGATTATCTCTCAAAATCTAAAATAAATGTTTTGATGGAGATACGCCCTTTTCCCTCCCATTTGTTAAAAAACAAGTAGTTCCAAAAAAGATTCTTGTTTTACCATTTTGTTATCCATCAGCTTTAAAAACTTTCATTTGTGAAATAGACTCCATTATAAAATTAACGAGAAGACCATTTGCGGTATTCTATCCATCAACTCTTAAACGATTAAGTTAAAAGAAAAAGATAATTATTTATTGTAATCATATACGTTGCCCGCCTATCTATTAGTTCCTGAATGATTGGACATTTGGTGTAAAAGAAGTGACTTTAGTTTCTAGATTCCACTTATTATAACAAAAAGTTAAAAGTCGGAGATAATCTCTCTACCTATCGCTGCTTAATGGTCGGACATATTAATTTAAATCTTTGTTATGAACGTAAAGTCTAAAAAACACATTTCGAAATTAACTATGAGGAATGATGAGGGTTTTTTTTTAAATTTATTGATAGGACCACTGGTCTGCTGTTTGCGAGACTTGTACACACATTTATGGTATTTCCACCAAGTCTGGTGTCAATGAATTATGACCTTCTGTAAATGGAAGCTGACTACTATCTCCCCTTTAATATGCATATCGGACCTAATTGCATAGTGTATAATCTAAACAAATATTTTTAAAATGGAGCGGAGATGTCAATAATATGTTCTTATGTTTCTTTTTTGATCTCTTACTTCAGGCTTTGGACTCGGTGCAATAGTTCTACATCAAGTTAGCAAGGTATGTACATTCAGTTTGGCACCTGCTTCATGGGCATTCCAGGTCAAAGGGTTGAATAGAAACATGATGAAAACACTATTATTGAATATAAACTCCTTGCTCATAAAGTTAAAAAACGATTTTGACAACGATTTATTCCTAATAGATCTAGATAATAGGATACATTCTCAAATTTTATTGAATACAAATTTGCCAGTGTTTGTTTTGCGTTACTGCTAAAGCATGTGTATGATACTATGCTTATCAACTAGGGGACCTACGCCCTTAAGTCATTAATGAAAGTAATGAGGATTAATGCCCCACAAAAGGGCACTAATATAGCACATCGACACGGTTTTGATCCTTGGGCCTCACAGTTACGAGGCCATTGCTTTGCCACTGGACCATGACTGTACGCAGCGGGGGCTAGGGTAGGGGGTAGTTCCCACAAATAAAACAAAACAAAACAAAGAAAATGCAATAAAAGTGGAAAATGAGATAAACTATTGTTCTGCACAGTGCGTTTGTTTACCCCGTCAGCAGTTCAAAACAAAGACTTAGAGATGTATCGTGGTCATAAACTAGTCTTTTATTATTAACCACGTATTATCTTAAACAAACAAACAAGGCGAGACATTAATCTGCATTTGCCACTCTCAATCCAGGTGTAGTAAATGCACAACCTGATAGGGATGTTTTACTTGAATGCATGCAGCGCCTTATGGGGAGCTTGGCTAAAGTCATGGTAAATGTGTATTCTGTAACACATTTAGCATGCATTGGGAGGAATACGTGTGCATTAAAATGTGTAGAACTTTAACTATCACTCATTGGCATCATAAAATTAAACAGTACTATTTTTTTAATATAAATATTTGTCTTGCAGCACGCCTACAACCTCGGATGTCGTCGGGTGACCGGCTACGTGGACGATAACGACGCCAACCTACCGCGATGGTATCAAGGGTACGGCTTCGTCGACTTCTCACGCCAGTTCGACTACCATATCTACTCCCTCTCCGACGACCCCCTCGAAAAGTTCGTCCACGAGCACGACCCGTTCACGAAACCAAACGACCTCGGGCTTGATATTGACTCCTTAATGTGAATGGTCGAGGGGATCGGAACTGATTGAGAAAAAAATGCATCTTGCGAGTTGCCCATTTTGCTGTCCATACCCTGTGTTATCTCATAAAGTAATGCCTGTGCCCCCTTCAAAATTTGCCTGGGCCCCTCTTTTTTGAGGGTCCATGCTACGCAAGTACATATGTATGTGATATATCGGTATACTGAGGAACACATCGTGAGATCCGCATTGTATGGACAGCACAACGTGATTAAAATTCAACCCGATCATATCATATCAGGTTGTAAAATGGCGTATGGACATAATATACTCAAAGAACGTGTTTGCAAGCTATTTCTGCTTTTTTAAGTTTCGCGGGTCGAAGCTGTTTTTCGAGCTTGGCTGATGCCATGTGGTTGCTGCATTTTCTAGAGACCCATGCAATATTTCGCTCGTTATATGTATGTTGTAAATATAAATTCATCTCTTCTTCAGTCAATTGGTGATCCTGTGGATCGAAGTATTAGCTTTTGAAGGAACAAGTGTTTTTTTTTAAAGAAAATACTTTAATTGGCAAAAAAAAATTCCGATGCAATTTCTTACAAAGAAAATATAATTCCAGTCCTAATCAACACCGACGACAGTACTGTATACTTCCCCACCTCGGCGTGGTTCTAGAAGAAAATTTTGTTGGTGTTGTTTTTGTTGAGGGGGGGGGGGGCGGAGGAGGAAATTATGGATGGAGGAAGGGGAGGGGACGATGGGAGGGAGGGGGTTCTTGTAGTTTGTATCCTGTGTTAAGCTCTTTTCTGTTTAAAGTTGGCAGATTCTCGAAAGAGCAAGATGAAATTTACCCGATAATTTAAAAAAAAAATATTTATGAATGTTTTGGGAACTCTCACCCTCTCTGACCTATTTGAAGTAGTAGCGCAGAGGATATGAAACCATATACTTCCATTTCTCATGTTTCTTTAATTAATATATTTGCAAGATCATTAATGATTTGCCACATCCGTCACCTTGATATTTAAGATAAAAAATCTGATACTATGAATAACATTTGAACAAAACACATTAATCAGGGTTTGTGGTTAGTACTTGCATGGCTGTGTGTTTGTAAGCTCTTGTTGTGCTTCCTACATTGGACAAAGCAAATTATCTGCCGATTACACGAAAAAATAAATAATTTATTATATAGAAACCAATCCAGCACCTTTAAGGAGTTCCTGTCACCAAATTTTCTGTTCATGTAAGATTAACCCGGAATAGGATGTAAATAAGATTAGTCGGCGGAAGTTGTTGGATTTGAAAAGGGTCGCGGTGAAAATGCATGCATGATATCCGGTATCGGATCCATCCTCTTCCGGATAATTCGCTGTAGTGGACCTGATAGGATCCGGTTGCAAGATCGTACATCCTATGAAATTAGGTTAAAGTTCACTTGGTGTTACAAGTCCTTAAAGTCCAACTAATTCTTGTCGGTCATGATTATGTTAAGGGAGGTATCGCAGTTATTAAACTGACACTGACTTTGACCATGTTATAGAATAACCTTCCTATATACCAATCAAACATAGTAAGACAATTTAACACATTTAACACATTTAAATGACTTTAGAAGCCGCGGCACTAATGTCCTTTGGCAAGACATTAATCTACACTTGCCACTCTCCACCCAGGTGTTAAATGGGAACCGGTGGGAAGGAATTCCTTAAATACTGTGAGCGTCGAAATCGGCAGCCTACGTAGTCGGGTAATGTTGAAGCGCCTTGAGGACCTTGCAAGGTCGATACGTGAGCTTTATAAGAATCAAATATTATTATTATTATTATTTCTTTTTAATAAATTACAATAACTTACAGTGTCAATGCTTATGCGATGTTTCCTTCTTCTTTTCTCTATTTTCTTTATCATCCCTTTTCAAAAATTGTTATCTTGATTTTATGTAAATCATGTATTTTGTAAGAAGTAATTGTTAACAAGTCGTTTATGTGCTTTTCATGATGCTTCAACTTCAGAAATCTTAATATATTTATTTGTATTTTGAAGATTATGTAATATCGTTTTTATCTTGAAGTTGAAACAAATAAATGAAATTAAATGAAATGAGATATCATAACTAACAAAAATTGATTTTCATGCATGTACAAGACCTGTAATTCTGACGAATATGATCCCTCTTGAGCTTACCTAACCTATTTTTTGAGGTTTAAAAAAAAAAAATTATCGAACATTTATCTGGGACAGGAGTAATCCCTATCTTCACTGGTATTAGTAATAACGGAAATTGTATGATTTCATGTTCGCAGTCAGTTTCGGTCTACAAAATGTCAAGAATAGTTATAGAACTTGTGGGGATTAAAAAACAAACGTAGTTAAATCATACTACCTTGACATTTAAACCACGTGGGTCTTTTTTGTTGTTATCATAAGTCAGCTGTGTTTCGGGTTTAAAAACATTCGGCTTTGTAATTTGTGATTCAATCTCGTCATTATATTGGTGAATGTCCATAGTGGTGCCTCACGTCTAATAAGATATCCATATGAGAAAGTGACTGTTGGGACCTATAAGGACGTTAACTAATGGAACTGAACAATGGCGAAGAGCTACACATGTTTGATTTCTTTCTTTATTTGTAGTTTTAGATTTACAAGGAAGCGTTGTCAGTTAATAAAAAATAGGGCAAGCGATGACATTCGCTCATATTTTTGAAGTTACTTGGAGTCGTCATCTAAATAAGACTTAAACCACTGCAACTCTTGACCTCTGACTCCAGCATCATGCAACCTTTATAATGATATATCATGGGCCACCGTGTCAAATGCCTTCTTTAAATCCACACAAATGCTCCTGTTACATATCTTTCATTCATGCCTCAAAAAATATGGTTAGTAACATAAATCAGAGCTCCGTCATATAAAGAGTTGCGAATGATCCGAATTGCTCTTAAGTCCTCCAATCAATCGCAAGCTTACTGTCATTTATGTACATATTTCCAATGATATCAATCACAAATTGGTTGCAGTTTGAGTTGAAAGGGTGAACAAATAAGGGCGCGTGCCCCATCAAATCACGAAGAATAACAACAAGGGAAAAAAGGAATAGGAGAGAAAATGAAAGGGAAACTCCGTCCCTCGGATAGGACGTGTAGAGGAGAGAAGCTGGAAAAGGAAGAGGAAAAAATGACACACAGGACCCCCTCCCGCACTTTGCCCTTCATGAGAGGCTTTGAAAATTTGCATGATTTTCGAAGTGAGATAGGTGCCCCTCAATAGCGGGATCGACGCTTCGCCACTGGCACTCAACATGTTTAATGTAGGTTAACGACCTCGTACATGTTGCTCTCACCAGATCGACTGCCCCCAATCCCATTTACACTCTACATTCAAGACTATACTAATTGGATACCATGTATCGCCACCATCGCTTAAAATCCCAGTAGATCCACTTACATGTCTAATGAAACCTCGTTTAGTTTGAATGTGTTTAGATGTAAGTAGAAGGGTATTTTCAATTCCTGTAAATTCTTTAACATCTTTGTGGAAGAAGGGTTGAGAGGGGGAAGCGGGGATGGATACCATCTGGGTATTAGAACTGCAAAGAAATAACATATAGACAACACAGACTCGATTTGTGATTAAAGGTGATCTTATTTGGGCAAAACCTTGCCCAAGTTGGTCAGACACATAAATACCTTCATGTTGGGTATACACGAATATTTTACGATAAAAATGACCACAACCAGGGTTCCATAGCATTTTCTGAATTTGGAACTTTTGGAATTGCAAACTTTCAGAGTAACGAGCCTTCGGAATAACAAAGCTTCAGAATTATGCGCTTTCAGAAATAACCGACCCTTCGGGATAATGAACCTTCGGAAAAACAATAGGCTTATGGTCCGGAACTCGCACACTTTTTTCAGTTATGTATAATTCACACTATCAAATTTTAATAATGTTAGAAAAGAGGTTTATTTCATATATTTTATGGATGTGTATGTAAATATGTGTCAATAATTGCTTCGGCCTGTGCTTTCATTATACGTATTAATACCATAGTATTATGCCTTGCAATACGTCAGTCACACCAACGAGACCGACACCAGACCGACACCAGACCGACACCAGATCGACACCAGACCGACACCAGACCGACACAAGACCGACGCCGGACCGACACCAGACCGACACCAGACCGACACCGGACCAACACCGGACCAACACCGGACCGAAACCAGATCGACACCAGACCGACACGATACCGACACCAGACCGACACCAGACCGACAACAGACTAAACACACAACTATATTACCTCCATTGGCTGAAAACAGTCGGTTTGGCAGTGTGACTGAGTTATAAACACTAACAAATAATGAAAATATATCTGATATTCTTTAACGACGTTTGCCTTTAAGCTTGCGTAAACTGCCAATCTAAATGAAAATTAATAAAATCGTATTTATCAAAGTATTTCCTGTGTATTGTGAATTGAATTGCCGTATCTTTTGTCCTCAATCTATGTTCAGTTCATTCTTATTCATTCTTCATTTACCCCCCCCCCCACCCCCCCCAAAATAACAACAACAACATGCAAACATTAAAATACATACAAAGCTGTTCAAGGGTAAAACATTATGTTAATAAATGAATTCATCCAAATTAAGAAGAATAAAAGGAAACATCCTTAAAAGCCTATTGAGGCTTGACTGGTTGATGGTCCTCATAATTGGCAAGTAATAACATACATATTTCGGTGGAAGAAAAAAGGTAAGGAAAAATAAAGGTGTTGGGGTATTAAATCAATCGTTATGATCTGGACTATGCACAATAGTGAGAGTTATTTATCAAGTATGATTTGATTTGGGTATGGAGCGTTTTCAAAACGGTAAATTCAACAATCTTAAAAATCATTGGGTGAAATAGCTTTGCCCAGCAGCGAAGACAAGTAATATGTCCAACCACCTATGGGAAATTTCTTTACAGCCCAACTTGAGTGATATTGTGGGGTTGGAAGTTGCGTGGATACATTACACTGCACATTCTACCTGGTATTTTTGAAAAGTGTTAACACATACAAATCCTTGTTGCATCCTATCTTGGAACATCTGGAAATTCATATACTTCATTCGTCATTTTTTTAAATAAAATAGATAAATGGTTTATATGCTACCCTTCAATTATTCGTAAGGTGATACGGTAGTTGGTGTGATTTCATTGAAATAAATCACATCCTCCCTACTCATACATCTAGTGAGGTGGATTTTAGAAGGCCAAGCTACCAGCAATTATGTATGGACGTGGGAGAAACTATATCAAATATCCACGAATGGGGAAATAAGTCGCCATGAAGCCTGTTTTGAATGATACTTGCAAAATAATTAAAACGGAAATGTACTAAAAGTTACCGCCAAATCAGATGCAACACTAAATCAATCATATTACGACATGAAACGACCTGTGTTTCCACATTTCACAATACGTTAAATTACAATGATTATCATTTAGCACTTAAAAACAGAATCACGTTTTAAAGTAATTTTGAATTCTGATATTGACGGGAATAACAGTTCCCATAGAATCATCGGAGTTTACACTGTTTAATGGAGAAAAAAAAAAAAAAAAAAAGAAAGAAAAGGAAACAAAATATAGATTTTGCATATCTATAAAAATGATGTGAAGTAGGACATATCGAAAAAAATTGCCCTCGATTAAATTATCTTTAATATATATCAGGTTATTACAAAATTCACCAGTCTCAAAGTTCATGACAATCAATAGCACCAAAAGAATGATTGCAATAGTACCCCCTCTCTCGACAATAATCAAGACATGCATCCCAGGAATGGACTTTGTTCGACTCGGTGGTCCCTGGCTAAGAAAAATATTACTCTACAACGTCTCTCCCAAAATAAGTTTAAATAGAATTTCGACACAAGCGGGTGACCTGGCCTTACAAAATTAAACTGTTATTACATGCAGATCATACACGCGGGACGCTACTATACAATACTTCATACATTCACAGACGGCTCGCATCATCGTATTATATATATTCAGGCCGTGCTAACAACAATATTGAACTAATTCCGGTGACTGTAAATGAGTACGTATACATTGGTTTCTTGATAATCATGATAATTGCTATATCATCAGAGTGCAGAGGCTTTGTACGATGTAATTCTCTAGAAATGACTTTGTGCCAACATTTTGCCACATAATAGCTCGCACATCGATATCGATGGATCGCAATGGCTATAGTTTACTTGAATCGTGACACCTGAACTGCTGTTTGGTATGGATATGAACGGATTCCTAAATCTGCAGATTACTGATTATGATGATAGATAATTCAAGTTAATATCTCAATTCAAAGAACTGCATTCATTTCTACTCATACAGGAGTAGGCTACCGTAAATGTTTTGAAGAGCACCAAAAATGGACGAACTTCGAGAATATGACGGAAAACTTTAAAAATCAATAATGGAATCGTTCATATTTGATCAAACAGTCCTAAAATATCTTATCAGCTTCGTTGTCTTTAGTGGACACTGCCTAACCTTCTGCAGCGGGGCCAACGTTCTTATTTTTGTGGGGTTAGGGGAAGGAAGTCATTTCCTAGCCTCTGCGGCTATCGGTAGGGAACTCGCCCAGAGGGGTCACAACATCACAGCCTTGGTGAGCAACGCGTACAGCCACCGTGCCCTAGACCCGAGATTCTCACCTCTCTTTCATTTCGAGTTGTTCGTCCATTCGAGACCCCTGGAGGAGGTCTATGACACCATGGAATGGGTGGCTAGGGCCTCCGCATCCGGACATTTCATGTGGGAGATGCCGACCGACTTTCCCGATGCGAGGTCCATCGAGTTCAGCGATTGCGACGCGGTCTTCCAAAACGTTTCCCTGATGGAACGACTGGTGGCGACCGACTTCGACGTGGTCATCGCGGATCCCATGTTCTGCTGCGGACTCCTTCTCGCACACCATCTCCAGGCAAAAGTGGTCATCACCTCCCCGTTGGCCTGGAACGCGGACATCGGTAAGCTCGTCGGGAACCCTACGAACCCTGCATGGATTCCTTCAGCGGGGACCGGATTCCCGACGCGGATGACCTTCCTGCAACGTCTCCTGAACGTCATCCTCTCCGGGGCTTTCGCACCCTCAAGGTTCATCGTTCCTATTTTGGAGGAGTTCAAGACGCAGAGAGGTCTAGTTCCAGGCTACTCGATGGTAGAGTTGTACCAGAGGGCGGACCTGGTCCTGGTCCAGACGGATTTTGCTGTGGAAGCACCAATACCACTCATGCCAAAGATCGTACCCGTGGGAGGACTGACCACTAGACCAGCTGACCCACTGCCACAGGTAAGAGAAAGTCTTTTTGATTAGACTTGACAATTTGTCTTGATTTCTTAAAAATTGTTATATTAATATAAAGTAAAATGTCTTGCATTTGCATCATCTATATGAACACGATCACAGAGACTGCAAACCACTAATCTAAGGCAGTTTAAATAACACTTTGATTTGTGTCAAAATGAAGATGACGTAATCTGAAACATGATTTCTACGGGCAATGCAAAACTGTATTGAAACTGCCCTTGAGTTGAGTTTGTAATGTAAAGCCCCACTGCACTACTTGCAGCTACTTAATTGCACCCTCTATATAACATACAATGCCTAATCGGTGACCTTAGGTCCCCATGATCCCCCTTTTGAGAGCTGATTTGATGAGATCCACCTGTCAGGGACCATGCAGGGAGGTCTAATTCCTCCTGGGCAAACTAGTGCAGTGGGGCTGTAAGACTTTTCCATTTGACAAAATGTCGTCTGGACTATGTCTGAAGTTTTGATGGTTATGATTCCCATTAAAAATTTGTTCGGCAGTTTCTTGAATATCGATGTAGAATAGAATCACTATTGTGAGAATAGTGAGGATAGAATTGTTTTCTGCGTAATAACTATTGTTTGAACTAAGTTTTGAAATGGAATGAATTCATAAAGACATGGAACTATAAAATGTTTTTAAACCACCTTGTCATTATTTTATGGACACATGAAATGTATCAGCCCAAATTCTTTGACTACGTTATAAATGACATATAAGTTCGCATTTCAACTCGTGCCCTACAAGTAAGGTGGAATTTATTTGTCGTTTAAAAAAATAAAATAGCCATCATATCCCCCCAAAACGAGATCTAACTATAGTTCTTTTTGAGACTCTTGTATGGCCTTTAGACTTTCTCCCCACCCCCAATCATTTTTGTCTTCCGTTTAGGATCTAGAGGCATTCGTACAGAGTTCTGGTGAACCCGGCATCATCGTCTTTTCTCTGGGTACCTACGTGACTCACATGAAAGCTGAGCTCATCGAAGTGTTGGCCGAGGCCTTCTCAAGAATACCCCAGAAAGTGATCTGGCAGCTCAGAGGTACGCCGCCAGAGACGGTCAAGAAGAGGGCGAATATTCTCACCCTGGAGTGGGTACCTCAGAACGATCTACTTGGTATATGTTCTCCCATTTTCTCTTTCTTTCTCACCCTGTATCATGTTCTTCTCTCCAATATTCAATGAGGTTTAGCGAACTAGCGGGAAATTCTCTGTGAGGGTACAACCTAACCCCATAGGGAATTTGGAGTTTCCTATAATAGCAAGGTCGCAACGACTTGACAAAATCAACATAATGTAATTTTAGTACCCTTGTGAATCACCTTTTTAAAAGTGCGAACATAACAGTGACATATTATTACTTATTCCGAGCTTGATTTATATAGACAAGTCGATTGGGCATAGAAATTGCCCTTACCTTAAATCCTTGGAGGTCTCTTCGATCGTGTTTATTACGGAATTTCATATCTTAGAGCTTTAAAAAAAATTAAAGAAAATTAATAGGATATTTTCGCTACCACTGCTGTAATTTACATTCAATTGCGCCATCTTTCGGTAACGGCGTACATATAACAATTTTTGGTTCCTGTACCCAAGCATCATCACCCGCGCGCCTTACAGTCGGTGATGCATTGAGGGATATGGTTGGTGACACATCGGGACATTGTAAGCATTTCAATTTTACATATTTGAACTCCCCGATCGTATCACCATCACCATCGCAGTCATTATCTTTCATGATCAGTGTTCTCCCACGCCTCCTCTTCAGGCTTTCTCAAATTCGTCGTCATCATCATCATCACCATCATCAGTATCAACATCATCATCATCATCATCATCACCATCATCAGTATATCAACATCATCAGCATTATCACCATCATCAGTATCAACATCATCATCATCATCACCATCATCAGTATCAACATCATCATCATCATCATTATCACCATCATCAGTATATCAACATCATCATCATCAGCATTATCACCATCATCAGTATCAACATCATCATCATCAGCATTATCACCATCATCAGTATCAACATCATCATCACCATCCTCATCATTGTCATCATCACCATCATCACCACCATCATCATCATCATCATCGTCAACATCATCATCATCATCGTCAACATCATCATCATCATCATCATCATCATCATCATCCTCCTCATCATCATCATCATCATCATCCTCATCATCCTCATCATCCTCATTACCATCATCATCATCACCACCTTCTGCCTCCATCACCATTACCAGAATATCGTCATCATAATTACCTTTTGCGTTAAAATTTCACATCTTCCTATACCTCTCTTTCCCAGGCCACATCAAAACCCGCGCCTTCGTCTACCAGGGTGGCAACAACGGCCTCCATGAAGCCCTCTACCATGCCGTACCCATCGTCGTCATCCCTGTCTTCGGTGATCAGAACGACGTCGCTGCCCGCATCGTTGCCCGTGGCATTGGGATCTCGGTAGACTTCACCCAGATGACCCCGGAATCGCTCACCGGACATCTGAAGGAGATAGTGGAAAACAAAAAGTAAGTACAGTTACAATTTTACTTTCAGTTAAATTGTAATGCACTATCATATTTCTAACGCTTAACCCCCCCCCCCCCTCCTTGTCCGTGTGCTGCCCTCTATATACCCACGCATGAGCAACTTGAGGCCCACCAGCGTTATCTACTGTCAACTTCATGATAAATGTTCAAAAAATCCAAAATAAAGAACGCTTCACGATTGTGCGTGTCATCATTGTGCTAGGGGCAATGCTAATCTTCTCTGTATCGTTCCAATTTTAATAGATGTCAACAATTTCTCGTCGACGCAGATCAATGGGGGATAAAAAGTATATATAGAAACGTGTGCGAAAATCGCTTTAAATGTGGTTAATACTTTGGCCACACGTTGTCAAAAACGTTTGCAAAACGTTTCTTTATAAACAATGGGCTTGTACGTGTCACGTGCACTGATCACGTGATTCGGATTTCCCATCACGCATGACGCTACCAGATAGTGATTTCAAATCCTTTAAAGGTGGTGTAGCATGACGAGACTACGTGGCCCGACTCGGGGCCAATCGGGTATAATACGACCGCGAACGACGCGACCACAGTATTCACGTGCGTGCAACATAGTTACGCGAAACCGAAGCGTTAAGATAACTTTGGTCTGTTTCGCGAACTCTATAGCGCGCTGACCATCGCTGATGACCGTCAATCAAGTCCATTCGTTTACGTGCAGTTGTTCTAAAAGTCGTAGATGGCGTTTACCATTATTTGCCAAGCTACACTCCCTGTAATACCCTCATATTGTGAAAGAATATTTTCCACCGTTATTTGAGTGCAAAAACTAGTCCATGCTTCTTAATTGCTTTCTTGCCGAAATGGACAAGTTTACAGCTTTAGAAATCCTATAGACAAAGAGATTTGATTTTAGAATAATTTGATAGCATGGCTTTTTTTCATTATTCATCCATTGTGCGTCTGTTCTTAAAATAATTCGAACATGCAACCTCTCCCCCTAAAAAAATATAGAATAAAACAAAAGATCTCCATAACTGATTCCACTGTTGTAACATCCACGCGATTCGATTATCACTATTGGCTCGGTACAATTTCATTTACACTCCATCGAAAAAATTGACGGTTTGAATCACTTGTTACACAGCTGTCTATCTCTACTCGGTTCGATTTTGTCACTGAACAGATAATGTAGAGCTCTTCCAAAACACGTCCGTGAAATTAAAATGCATTATGTAAAGCTCTACGGAATATGTGAAAATACCATATTTACTATCTATTGATCATGAATGTAAAATTAAAATAAGCAGTTTCATCACTTTTCTACTTCATCAAAATCATGAGACAGAATTTCTCATTATTTTCTATCCACAGGTACAAAGAGGCCATGACGCACCACTCAGCTATCTATCACGATCGCCCTCAGCGGCCGGTAGAGCGAGCTGCCTTCTGGATAGAACACGTGATCAAACATGGCGGCGACTACATGAGGTCACCAGTAAATGACCTAGTTTGGTATCAGCACTATTTGCTAGATGTCATCTGTTTTCTCATTGGAGGTCTCTTCTTGTTTTTGTTATTTTTATTCTATCTCTTCCGTTGTATATGCAAGTTAGGCATGAAGACCTCCTCAAGGAAACGCAACAAAGAATGATACGGATACATTTTATGTTTCTTAATTCACAATTATTCTAATGACATGTATCGGATCTGAGATATTGTTAGGAAATAAAAGTTGGTTTAATATTTTTTCTCTCTTACAATTAGTGTGCTCAAGTATATTACATTTATTGCAAGCGCATTGGCCGCATTCTACTACAGACAGTGACACGGTGCCAAAAAAACAGTGAGAGTATATGTACACGTAAATCCTATTGTCCCACAAGAGATGGAAAAAGAGAAAGAGAGAAAGAGAGAGAGAGTGAGAGAAGAGAAAGAGCGTGAGAGAGAAAGAAAGGAAGAGAGAGAGAGAATTAAAGAGAGAAAAGAGAAAGAGAGGGAGAGAGAGAGGGAGAGAGAGAAAAGAGAAAGAGAGAGAAAGAGAGAAAATAGAAAGATATAGAGAGAGAGAGATAGATAAAGAGAGAGAGAAAAAAAAGTGGGGGAAAGATAAATGGAGAGGTGCAGACATGAAAAAGATTATTTAAAAAAACATTCACACCATCATCCATTTCTTTCGCAAATTTCGTCCAAGTAGTACCTCCGCTGAAACTGCAGTGCGCCCTCTCTATAAGACAGTGTTCTCGCGTCCCTCGCTGATGAGGGAAAAGTACACCATACTTTCAATGGGTGTCTTATGCAAATTTTTTACCTTTAAATCCGACGAAGGTTTTACGGACTGAAAGTCAAAGACGGATAGGTAAAATGCAACGCTGTCAGATAATTTTGTTTAAATATTGCCCCCACCCCTCTTTTGCAAATCCTGCCCCACCACCCCACCCCCTCCCATACGTGATAGTGCGATGGGCTTTTAATGATTTTGACTGTACTTTTTGATCTGTAAAACGGATTATAGATTTCTGGAAAGTAGCTCGTCTCAACATGAATTCGTTTAAAAGTCATATGGTTCTACCATATAGACCTCGGATACAGTTTTTGCATTTAGAACGCCTCCTTTATGAAGCGATGTGACATGTACAGGTAAATGAATATGAGAAGGAAAGAGAAAGAGAAAAAAAGAGAGAAAAAATGTAAAGAGAGAAAGAAATAAGAGAGAGAGAGTGAGAGAAGAGAGGGAGAGAGAAAGAGGGAGGGAGAGAGAAAGAGAGAGAGAGAGAGAGAGAGAGAGAGAAATAGAGAGAGAGAGAGAGAGAGAGAGAGAGAGAGAGAGAGAGAGAGATGAATATGTGTAACGACATGCCCAGAGTATAAATTAATTTGGTTAAAATATAATGTTCGTGCTACCGATAAAGCTCAAATCGGCACGATTGATGTTTGATAATTGATTAAAGAGAAATTTTAACCCCCAGTCAAAAATTGCATATCGCAGTTGAGAGAGAGAGAGAGAGAGAGAGAGAGAGAGAGGGAGAGAGAGAGAGAGAGATTATGGCTAGGAAGCGAACAAACGCGCTGGGAATAGGAGCAGTATACTCTCCAGGACCATTACAGTGAATACCTAATAAACGATGAGACTCGGGAAAAGGCAGAGGCGGAATGGCAAAATATTGAAATAGCCAACTGAAATGTACACGACTTATTTCATTGTGCAGCACAAACGGTTTCCAGACGATCGTTAGAAACATGGGAATACTTCATAGTATTATACTATACTGGAATATTATATACTGTATACGATAGATTATATCTTACACATTGTGGAGCACTGACTATAGACGCTCATGATAAGTATGATTCTTATGCCTGAATCTGTATGGAATCATTGTCACCTTCATTGTTCTAAGCTATTACAGTAGGAGTAAGGATACAATTCAATGGTAAGTTCCCTTTTTTGGTCAAATTTGTTCATTGGAGTTGAAATTCATTCTGACATAAATATGCTCCTCGTGATTCCTATACTCATCTTGTGCCATTTTTACCGTAGGTAGTACAAGAGAAGGTGATAGAAGTGGTGGTAGTAGTAGTATAGTATAGTCTTAGTAGCACATGTAGAAGTTATAATAGTAATATTAGTGGCAGGAAGTAGTTGTAGTAGAAACGTAGTAGCAAATGCAACAGTAGTAGCATTAATAGAAGTTATAGCAGTAATATCAGAAGTAGTATCGGTGGTGGTGGTAGTGTTGGTAGTAGTAGCAACAGCAGTAGAAGAAGAAGTATTAGTAGTAACAGTAGTAAAAGAAGTAGCAGCAACAGCAAAAGTAGTAGTATGATGTAGTAGTTGTAGTAGGAGTATTGATAGAAGTATTAGTGGCAGTAGTAGTAGTAGTAGTAGTAGTAGTAGTAGTAGTAGTAGTAGAAGCAGTTGTAGAAGTAGTAGCAGTAGCAGCAGTCGTAGTAGTAGTAATAAAAGCAGCAGCAGTATTAGAAGTAGCAGTATGATGTAGTAGCAGTAGAAATAGTAGTAGTAGTAGTCGTAAAACAGTATTAATACTAATATTTGTTAAAGTAGCAGCAGTAGCTGTAGAAGTAGTGGTAGTTGTTGTAGTAGTAGTAGTAGTAGTAGTAGTAGTAGTAGTAGTAGTAGTAGTAGTAGTAGTAGTAGTAGTAGTAGTAGTATTAGTAGTAGTAGTATTAGTAGTAGTAGTATTAGTAGTAGTAGTAGTAGTAGCAGTAGTAGTAGTAGTAGTAGTAGTAGTAACAGTAGTAGCAGTATTAGTAGTAGTAGTAGAAGGAAGATAAGGAGGAATATACGATTAGTAAAATAGCTTAGCAGTGGTAGATGTTAAAGTGGTACAGGATGTATTACAATTATTTTTATTCCATTTTATGATACAATGAGTGGTGGTAGTTGATTTCTGCGACCGATTGTTGTTGATTGCACATAGTATACAAATATACACTGCCTTGAGAGGTTCTGGTTAAAACTATGCGCAAGAGGTGACTCCAATAGTACTATTTGCTGAGGGGCGCAGCCCCGAAGCAAATGGTACTTTTGGAGTCACCGAGGCCCATAGTTTAACCAGTACCTCGAATAGAAGGCATGGTATATTTGTTTTATATCCTGCATCAAAAACTTATTTAAAAAAAAAAAAAAAAAAAACATTTTTGGGAGAAAAAAAATTTAGAACAAAAAAATGTCAATTTTTATCTAAAAAGATTTAAAATATTTTGTTTTCATTAAATTAAGGTTTGAAGAAAAAAAATTGATTCAATTCAAAAAAAAAATTCACATTTTTTTTTCAACTCCCAAATAGTAAACCAAAATAGTACTCTCATATAGTACTTTCTAAAAATAGCTCAAATATTTTTGGTCATGTGATGAGCTCTCAACCAATCAGAAGCCAACAAATTTTTGATGCAGGATATAATAATCAATGAAACCAATAGCTAAACAATGCTATGGTACGATCAATCGCTAAGCTTTGTGTTACGGATCTGTAGTAGGAATAGTAAGTTGGTAAAATAGGTACAATAGTTAATAGGGGGTAGATGTGGAATTAGTACATATAGAGTAAAGATGGCTATAGTCGACACCTGTTAAAGATTAAACCATCATTGTTATTATTGTTGTTAATATTGTAATTATTATCATTATTATTATTATTATCATTATTATTATTATTGTTATTATTTGAAAAAAATATTATTATCATTATTATTATTATTATTATCATTATTATTATTATGATTATTATTATTATTATTACTATCATTATTATTATCATTATAATTATATATAAAATATATATACATTTTTTTCAATATTTTTTTTTGGGGTGGGGTATAAAACCGTCTTGGGAAAATTCACATCTTAAAATTCTCAGAAGCTGAGTGAAACGCCCACCCATATACCCTTTCAAGTTGCATCCATCAATTTCTTTTGAATGGACAAGCATTTATGCATTATACTCTGAGGGATATCAAAATTCAAAATTTCTCTCACATTCACTCCCATTCTTTCACATATTTGATTGTCATGATTGTGTATGCTTGGAAAGAAGGTTATCTGTGAAGAAATATGACTTTCTAAACGTTACTTTATTTAGGCGTCCACTACTTTTAGCTATATTACAATTTTACCTCAATAGGAACAATTTCAATATATTTAGCTAAAAACTGTAAATCTCTCTTTAAAACATTTAGTTAGTATAAGAACCATTGAACGTAATTTCATGGCTCTAGGGAGCATTCTGCCATTAGTATTTTGATACGTTTGTCTTGCCTTTTCCCCTTAGTTTTCCACTTGCCGTGAATCTAACAAACACCTGTACTAGGAAAATAATGAATCTTTAGCATTTTTATACTGTTTTTCTTGCCTTTCCCATATGTTTCTACTTGCTGTTAATCTACAAAAAAAAACACCTGTTTTAGACATGCCTTTCCCTTTTTTCCACACTAGCTGTGAATCTAAAAAACACATGTATTAGGAAAATTATGTATCTTTATTATTTTCTTATATTTTCTTGCCATTCCCCCATTTGCTGTGAATCTAACAACCAGCCGTATTAGGAAAATAATGTATCTTAGGAGCGGGGGAGTAATTATCCTAAAGTTCGAATTGGACCGATCAGTTACGTGTCATTATATGCGGGGAAATGTGATCATAAAGAATTTGCTAAAAGCACATTTTAACACAACCCTTTCAATGTATTGCAAAACGTCTGAATAAACAGTGTAAGATATTTGGCGCATCTCACAAGAATTGCGGGGCCCAAATCTGAAGTAGGAATAATAAATTGGTAAAGTTGGTGCAATAGTTTATCCCGGGGTAGATGTGGAATCAGTATACATGGAGTAAAGACGGCAATACTCGGTGAATGTCTATGCTTTAACCAATGGATATTAAAATCTTCTCTATATTTATAAGGGGGGGTGGGGCTCTAAAATTGTCTTGGGGGAATTCACATCTTAAAACCCTCTGAAACTAAGTGGAAAGGCCACCCATACATGCACCCTTTTAAGTGCATCCAGCCTTTCCTTTCGGATGTAAAAGCATTTATGCATTATACTCGGATCGATTTTTTAAAATTCCGAATGTCTCTCACATTCACTCCTGTTCTTTCAAACATTTTCATTGATAAGATTGTACTTAGAGAGAAGGTTATCTTCGAAGAAATATGACTTTCTTAATGCTCCTTTTTTAGGCGTACACTCAGTTATTAGCTATATGTTTAAATTTTACCTCAATAGGAACAATTTCAATATGTTTAGCTAAAAACTGTAAATCTCTTATTAAACATGATTAGAAAGTATGGAAACTGTTGAAAGTAATTCTCAAAATTCTCATAACTCTCTGGTGCATTCCGCCTTTTAGCATTTTGATACTTTATTTTCTTCTTGCCTTTTAGTCCCCTTAGTTTTCCACTTGCGATGAATCTAAAAAGAAACACCGTGATAGGAAAAAAAAGGTGCCCCTTAGGAGCGGGGGAGTAATTATCCTAAAGTTCGAATTGGAACGCTCAGTAATATGTCATTATACGCGGGGAAACGTGATTATAAAGGATTTACTAAAAGCACATTTGACAAAACCCTTTCAGGACATTGCGGAACGTCTGAATAAATAGTGTAGGATATTTGGCACATCAGAGAAGTGAGAGGATAGCATAGCATAGGGGTTTATATTACCCGTATGAGACCTTTCTCCCTAAGGGAGGGGCAGAACGAAGAGAGAGAGAGAGAGAGAGAGAGAGAGAGAGAGAGAGAGAGAGAGAGAGAGAGAGAGAGAGAGAGAGAGTGGAATGTGGTGGTCGAAGGGGGGGGGGGACACTGAGACAAAGACAGAGACAGAGAAAAAGAGGAAGGGGGTTGGGGGAGGAGCGACGTACACACACATACAGACAGATATAGAGGAATGGTGGTGGGGGAAAGAGAGAGAGAGAGAGAGAGAGAGGGGGGAGAGGGGAATAGAAAGAGAGAAATATAGATAAAGAGAGAGAGAGAGAGAGAGAGAGATAAATAAAGAATGAAGAGAGTAAAAGAGAAAACAATGAGGCAAGAGAGCCATTTTATCTAGGCCTACGCACCCTTTCAAATACCATGTATACATCACGTTCATCGCCTGAAAGGTAATACAAAGTTTTGGGAAATTTTGAAAATTGGGTGGATAGTGATTCTTTACAAATTTATATTTGGATGCCCCTGTGGATGTATTATAAGCACTAGAAAATTTAGCCTCTAAAACACTTCTGCTTTCGAGAAAAATTGAATATAAAAAATTACCGGTGCTCCCTGTAAATTTTGATAAATTTCAAAAAGCGCCTACGACCGTACAATGGTAGCTGCGGCCATGAAATTTCTCAGAATATGTAGATGTGATATATAACTTCCAAACAAGAATAGCAAATTGGTCGATTTTAGTCAAGAAACATTGTTTTATAGCTTAATTAATATCTTGACCTTGAGAGTGAGCTATACAACAAAAAGAGTGTATTATTTACAATTTCATAACTTTAAACTCGATTTCAACCGCGACAACGATCACTGAATATTGAAGGATCGCATATGCTTCCAATATGTTCATTTGAACCAATTAAATTCATGATCCCATACCAAAACTTTGTATTACCTTTAATATTAAGTTCGGTAGGTGTACCGCTTTCATAGAAAGCCAACACAAGAGTGAAAGCAATCAAAGAAGAGAGCGGGACCCTCCACTCCATATATTAATTATTCACACCCTCTGGTAGTAAGCTAGGCCTCTTTCCATTACCCATGGTAAGATGTAGCGGTGCAGAGTTTTGGTGATAGTACAGTGCGATGTGCAATAGGGACAACTCAGAAAATGCTAGATAAATAAACAATTAGAAAATGGAGGTCACTGTACCGTAAAGAATATACATGGTGGTGCTGGATATGTTGTCATAGGAACCTGGGGCCT